TCTTAAGCCATTTTACTGCAAAATAAATACAACTCTTCCTTTATTAGCATAACATTAATTCTTGGACAACTTATCATGTTTACCAACCTTTACAAACCAAATAATTAATCTTTTCTAATAAATAATGTAAGTATTAGACCTTAATCACACCCCCAACCTATAGGCCACTAAAGCCATTGCCTAGGGGCTCCAAATTGGAAGAAAAATTTGGGGCCTCAAAATAACATTTTATACAATGGTATGCAATGTAGATGTTAAGATATAATTTAAATACTCAATACATTTTAACAATTGAATTAATAGGGAGTGTTAACTTTAAATAAAATACATTATTTATCCAATGTATTTAGTCCTCAAATCAAGTACAAGTAGTATTATGGTAAAATTTTTAGAACCTCTTTAAAAAAAAATTAGGGCTTTAGAGTTCAACCTAATTTTCTTATCTCACACGATGTTTATATTATATGTATTATATCATTGCAGTCTTATTATTAAAATCAATTGTCTATCGTAATAATAATTTTTTATTTCTATAACTTAAATTTAAGGCTATTTTTTGATCAATTTGTTTATAATAAATATAATAACTATAAAATAGAATGAGTAGAAGTAATGCAATATTTGTAACTAATCAGTCACAGTTGTTTTACTAGTTAAACTAATTTCTAATTATATTTTTTTTTATCTTCAATAAATAGCATGTATCATTTGTATTTAATCTCCAAATTAGACTATGGTTAACACAACTTTTATTTGTAAAATTTAAATTTTAATTAGTATGTCATATCTCAAAAAAAAAAAGACAAAATAAATAGTTTTTAAATAAACATATTTTAGTATTTTAATAACTATTTAATACAAATATTATTATTAAATAAATATTACTAGAGTCCCACGTAACATTTTTGGGCTAGACCCCCTAGTTGGGTTGGGCCGCCCTTGCCAGGCTAGCCGGGCGCATTGAGCCAAACGAGGAGGCTGGGCAGGCACCTTGGTGCTTGCTGTGGTGGGCGACGCCTGTCCCACATAAACCATCCAGTCCAGTTTTCTGTCCACATCTCTGGATTGTTGGGATTGCTTGGCGTAAATTGATCACAGCAAAACACATTGCAAGTGTTTATCATTCGCTGTGGTGGGCGACGCCTGTCCCACATGACTTGTATGTAGGGATCTACCTCACATTCAACTTGGAATATATATAAAGGCATAGCGTCGTCGACAGTGCCCAAAATGTCCATGCCGAAGCCCACTCAACGCTAGATAAAAGTTGAACATATTATGCTGATAATTCTTTTCAAATTTGGAGACTACTCGGGAAATTGAACCCAAAAAGATTAAAAAGAAATACTCATTATTACAACACATTCTTAAAAGTCGTTCCCAAGTCACAAGGCTTCGGCATGTAACATGATTTTGTAAAAATAATTAGTAAGAAATGTCACCTTCAATTTGTTTGAGTTTGATTTCTCTAGTCAAGTGAATAACTTCTATGTAGTAGTTAGATATAGACATGCAACTTGGGCAGGACAATTTGAATGCCTTTGTGCATTGGATAGAAAGATGCTCAAGTTGAATTTGGATTAAAAAAAAAATTCCCAATTCGATTTGAATTCAAAAGTATAGTCTCAAGTGTTTGGGACCAACTCCTACTGTGACATTGTTCTCTAATTTGGGTTCCATTTGAATTAAACGAAAATACAACAACAGTCTAGGTTGTGTAACTAGAAGTCTACCTTAATTGAACTCAAATTGCAATCTGAATAATGTAATCGCAAGATCAAACACTAAGTTCAACCCAAAATAATAATTAAATCGGATTTCAATTTATTTAAACACCAAAAATGAGTTCAATTATCATGGGTCGTGGTCGAAATTGATTTAAAATTTTTATAACGTGAGTTGAACCTAATTGGTGGTTTCTAGTGTTCAAACTAACCCTAGTAATTAATATCATAACAAATAAACATGTGTAAATGAGCAAATTAATCATAATAAAGTTAGGCTAACAACTATTTCTTATCCATTAAATAATCAAAACTCTAGAATACTGAATTTTATTAAATCAAAGCAAACGTTGAATAATTCCATTGGGTTACAAAAGGTCAACGTCGTAATGTTCATGGAAACACATGGAGTTTGCTCCGTACTCTGATTCGGTGCACGTATATCTGTGTTTCTTAATCAACGTGTCACAAAGCTGCCCGGTCAACCTTTGTAGTCAACTATATTGAAAATGTCATAACACGCAAAAGGGACTTTACAGGACAGCCAATATTTGTCACGTTACTTCTCAAGATCTTTATTTCCTTCAACTGAAAATTTTCATTTTTTTTTATTTATTATTTCTATAATTTTTACAATCAACGACCTAAAAAAAAAAAATCAAAACAATCTATAGTTTACGTAAACTTTTTGATATGATATTCACTATATCAAATTCAAAGGAATTGAGCTTTTGATGTGATAGACTTGTTTGACTGGTAATGTATGTCGAAAATCTATAGTATTAACTCGATTTTATTAGCATTTGAATGGAACGGGACTTATTTTATATGGACACTATATATGTAGTCTGAGAAAGGCAAATGTTTTAATCTTTGATTTTTGGTTTACAAGTTATCTGTGTCAACAATAACGCAACACAACTCGTAAACATACTATGTTAGTGTATGCCAAGACATCAAATACAACTAATTAAGGCGGTTTAGTTTAGATTTGGATTAACTATTGTCAAAACAAACTCCAAATTTATATGATCAAAGGCCTCTACTTATAAGTCATTTTTAGCAATGTGATATTCCAATAAATCTTGCATTTCCATATCTTTGGAAAAGAATTTTGTTCCTAATTTGGATATTAAGGCAAAGCAAAAGAAGAACAAAAATGCCACTCTTCCCCACTTTTTTTCTTCATTTTAGTGGGTCCCAATAAATATCAACACTCAGTTTAACTAATGATAATAATTGACCAAGTCGAGAATTTAAGTTTATGTAGAAAAGTAATGTTATTTTGACCTAAAAATTTGATCTAATTTGTCGACTTAATGATGTGGTTTCTATAGAATTATTTGACCAACCCTTAGTTTCAATGTTTGATAGAATGCACAATTAATATAAAGATCATAATAAATTAGATCAACAAATTAGATTTTAGTTCCCAATAGCATTCCTCCACGTAGAATTGCTATTTTCTAAAGGCAAATTAAAGCTGAGTTGGAAGCCTAGACAAGGCGAGTATGCTCTTCTCTAATCACAAAGTTTTCAACCTCCACTAAAAAGTAGGTTTTGTTGGAATTGTCAAATTGCTGAACCGGCCGGTGTGTTCCGTGGTCAATTTGGATATGCCAAAGATTAAGATAGCAAAGAAGCTAATATCCACAATGATAATTTTTATGGAATGAGTTATAATATTTTACATCAAGTTACAATAAAAAAGTTAGGTTCAATTTTAAATAAATTTTGAGATAAAGTATCGATTATAAACATCTTCAAAAATATTAACTTGATTCAAAATATTATATTTTACTCTCGAAAAACACTTTCATATTTTATCTTAATATAAACACAACAAAAAAGTTTTTTGGTACCAAAGTGTAACTCTAAGCTTAAAGTTTAGGTGCCATTAGTCAATGTAGAGTTATGGTGCCATTTTTTTTTTTAATGTAAACCATCTACATTTTTATGTTTTTGAACTTTTACGTGGAAGGGAACAGTGATGTTTAAATCCACAATCTAATGGTCCAACAATAGGCTGTAGTGTCTTTTTTTTGGGTAAATAAACAAAGAAGATATATTGAGTATGCAAATGTACGTAGCAACACAATCTTAAAGGAAAATCGAACAAAAACAGAGACACAAAGACAAGACTGCAACAACCTACAACCAGTCCAACAAAAGCAGGCTGAGGAAGTCTGGGAGGGTTGCATTTTGCACTCCCCACAGATTACAAAGCCAGTAAACAACAAATCGAATTTACATCAGGTGCAAAAACAAGAGCTTAGAAGTTGCCAAGAAGAAGCAGTTTGTCTATGAAGATGGGTGTCCTTGATTTTGATTGAAAGAAGCCTACTTCTCACCATATTCAAAATCATCATCTGGGGTAGTACCTGGATCATTGTGCTCATTGATGAAAATTCTCACCATATCCTCTTAACAATTGTAAGGAGTAGAAATCGTAACAGAATTTCAGCCCTCTAATCGAAGGATTTCGACTGACTTGGCGGCACCGAGTTCTAGTAGCCTTTACCTCTCTTCGGCCCGCAAGAACTTGTCCCATATCGGAAGAGAGTTGCCTTTTCCCCTCGCATATAAGTCCTTACACTCAAAAGATGAGGTAAAGTGGCTAGTGGGTACCTCCTCCTTTGAGTGCAATGACTTATATGCGAGAGGGGGAGACGACTCTCTTCCGATGTGGGACAAGCTACTACGGGCCGAAGAGAGGTAAAGGCTACTGAAGCTTGGTGCTGCTAGATCAGCCAAAATTCTTCGAGTGGAGGGCTAAAATCCCGTAAAAATTTCTACTCCTTATAATAACCATCTACATTGTTTTTTAGGTGAGCGCATGTAGTATTACTGGGATATGATAATTTATCATTCTGATTAGTAAGACAGCGGTTTGAGAATCTTCATTCTTTTCCATTCTGCATTTGAATTGTCATTGTACAAATGTCAAGTTTGTCAATCTCATCTATGTTCAAATCATCAAGCCAACCTACCACAACCACCTCTTCCTTTTTCAACTATATAAAGAGACCCTTCACAGAGTCGTAGATCATCCAAATCTCAGAAAGCTAACTCAGTGCTTTATCAATGGCTATGAAACTAAGTTTATTCATACTAGTTATATCCTCTTCTTTATTTCTTTCACCAGCCCTATCGAGTTTAGCCCCAGGTGACATAAACGAATGGTGCAACCAAACCCCTTACCCTGAACCATGCAAGTACTTCATGAGCCATGGCCCTCACCATTTTGTACCTAAACAGAAGTCCGATTTCCGAAAAATGGCGGTGCAAGTGGCCATGGAGAGAGCCCTAAATGCCGAGACTCACACCAAGGGGCTCGGATCCAAGTGCCGCAATGACCGTGAAAAGGCTGCATGGGCTGATTGTTTGAAGCTCTATAAGAGCACCATTCTCCAACTTAATCAAACCCTTGACAACCCAAAATGCACCGATTTTGATGCACAAACCTGGCTGAGCACGGCTTTGACTAACCTCGAGACCTGTCGAACAGGTTTCAAGGAGCTGGGTGTTTCGACCCATATGTTGCCCCTCATGTCCAATAACGTATCAAAACTCATTTGCAACACCTTGGCTCTTAACAATGGCTCAACTGAGAAACAGACTTACAAATATGGGTTTCCAACTTGGGTTTCGCCGGGAGACCGGAAGCTGTTGCAGTCGTCATCACCGACGGCCAATCTTGTGGTGGCTCAGGATGGGTCAGGAAATCACCGTACCGTTAAAGCCGCCCTCGACGCGGCGGCAAAGAGGAGTGGCAGTGGGAGGTTTGTTATACGTGTGAAGAGCGGGGTTTATAGGGAGAATCTGGAGATTGGCAACAACATGAAGAATATCATGCTTGTCGGAGATGGGTTGACAAACACCATTATCACCGGTAGCCGGAGTGTTGGAGGAGGTTCCACCACCTTCAACTCTGCGACTGTAGGTAAGGGACACTCTCCTCATTGCATTCTTACTATTTTTATATATATTTTTTTTTGTCAGCAGGTCTAGTTTGTCATTAAACATCCCAAATTAGTTATTTTCTACTTGAACTAGTGATAATGACCAATTCCTTATACTTCTTATCAAACAGATTTTCTTACATACAAAAGTTCAACAACTCTAGGAGTTTGAACTTTTTGTAGTAATGATGATTTAAAATGGTATTAGAATTGAGTGGACGAGACTATTGGATAACACTCTATTTCTATTAATTAGTTAAATCTCACATTGTTCATGCTAAAACATGTATCATATTGTATTATAATTTCGTCTTTTAAATCTTCTGTCTATCTCTCCATGTTTGAGTAAGTGAGAATCGGACATACAGGAGAGTAATAGAATTTATCTCACAGCATGGAAAATCAGTGTCTCTTGAAGCATTTGCATTGTTGTCCTAGTCCAAATTGCGAACGTACGTTTGAAAAAGAAGCTCACAAAAAGTCACGGTACTTAACAACTATTTTATGAAATTAATTGCATTTATATTTTCCTAAGCAATTAGTCATTCCAGCAAAACATATCTAATTTCTACATATTTATGACTTTCAGCGGTCACCGGCGAAGGATTCATTGCTCGTGGCATAACATTCCGCAATACAGCCGGTCCAGAGAACCATCAAGCTGTAGCACTCCGATCAGGCTCCGATCTCTCCGTCTTCTACCTCTGTGGCTTCGAAGGATACCAAGACACCCTCTACGTCCATTCACAACGACAGTTCTACAAAGAATGCAACATCTATGGCACCGTCGACTTCATTTTCGGCAATGCTGCGGTCGTTCTCCAGAACTGCATGATATATGCAAGGAGACCCATGGACAAGCAGAAAATCGCCATAACAGCCCAAGGCCGAACTGACCCTAACCAGAACACCGGAATCTCAATTCATAACTCTCGTATCATGGCTGCATCAGACTTAAAGCCAGTTCTCAGTTCGTTCAAAACATACCTGGGACGGCCATGGAAGGAGTACTCTAGAACTGTTTTTCTTCAGTGTTACTTGGACTCCTTGGTTGATCCCGCTGGCTGGTTAGAATGGGATGGCAATTTTGCTCTCAATACCTTGTATTATGGAGAGTATAAGAACTCCGGCCCTGGTTCCTCGACGAGCCAGAGAGTGAAGTGGCGGGGTTATCGGGTGATAACGAATCCGACTGAGGCGTCACAGTTCACTGTTGCAAATTTCATAGCCGGTCGCTCATGGTTGCCGGCCACCAGTGTTCCGTTTACTTCTGGACTGTGATCATGTTAAATTGGACAATGCACTGTTCGATTCTTTTGTTGGTTATTTGTTTTGGTATAATTTTGTGATTTGCCTTACTTGAGGGGGTCTAAGCAAAATAAGTCCTGTTTTTTTAATACTCAGTTCTCAATAAACGTTCAAATTAAGTTTGTTCCCACTTGTTAGGTCATGTTTGTTTGCTTTATATTCTCAAAAGTAGTTTTCCACAAATATGTTACCCACAAAAATAATAAATTTTTTATTTATAAAATGATTCACAAAAATTATAAAACCTCCCATTAAAATAGTAAAAATTGAAGGTATAATACCACAAAAAAAAAAAATTCCGTGTCCAACATGTAGACTGAGCCTAGAGCTGGTGCTTCGACGGGGTGGATTTGAATCCCGTTGAATCCATCCTACCCCTTATAAGTTGCAAAATAGTAGCCGAAACCGATCCCCAAAGCTGACCAACTCGTATTGATCTCCAATTCCGATTTTGGGTTCCATTTGAATTAACCGAAAATGAAATGTCTTTGAATTGTGTAACTGAAAGTTTGTCTTAATTGAAAAACAAATTACAATCTGAAAAGTATAACCGTAAGATCAAACATAAATTTCAGCATAATAATAATAATAATAATTTAAAGTTGATCGCAACTATTGAAACACAAAAAGTGCTTGAATTGGAGAGTTCGAATAACAAACAAAGGGGGTTCAAATCAGAAATTGGATTAAAAATTCTACAACTTGAGTTGAACCTAATTCATCGTTTCAGTGTTCAAATGAATCCTAGTAATGAATAGCATAACAATTAAGCACATGGACGGAGTCAAAAATATCTATGAGGGGGGAAAAATATAACTAATGCAAAAAAATATTTAGACGAAATTGATACAAAAAAATTCAATTCAAGAATGACAAAAAAGTAAGAATCAAAACAAAATTATTGTGAAATAAGAAATTCAATTTTTATTTAGCCAAAACAAAATTCGAACAAAAAGACACAAAATAATTTTTTTAGTACATTTTAACCTAATTATATATTTTAATAAAATATAACGTTTTTTAAAATCTCTAAAATTTTGTATATGAATTAAATATAAATTAATTTTTCACTTATTTTTTATCAATGTACATAATCATAAGTTTGTAGTAAAATTATTTTTTATTTAGTTACAAAACTTAGTTGAGATCATTTTCGATCTTATAGAGAAATTACCCTTTTGAAATAACTTGAAATATTTTTGAGTTACAATCTTTTGTCTTTTGTATATAATCATATTTTATTAGGTTATAGACTACTATTACTAAAAAAATGTTAAATGAAAACTAAAAATTATTTTTAAAAAGTAATGAGAATTGTATTAGATAAAAAAAAATATTATCTTTTGGCTAATATACAAATAGATCAAGATACTTACATCTGATTGACTCAATACAAAAATAAAATATCTATTTTAAAGGTTTAATGAACCACTAAAAGAAAAAACTAAAACTATTATTAAAATTTTTAAAATTTTAATGGAGTAAATATAATATATTAAATAATTTTATGGATCTTCGTTAAAGGTGGTCAAAAAATGAGGAGGGCAAGGGCCCACCTTGATCCCTATTTGGCTCCACCCTTGATTAAGCATGTGTAAATTAATCATTACAAAGTTAGGCTAACAATTTTTCTACCGAAGCAAACTTTGAGTTGCTGGTTTATATATAAAACTCGTGTAATATTATATGAATTTAAAATATACACTTAATAATCACAATCATTGAATTAATAATAGATCTTAATAAATATTAGAATTTACAATAAAATTAATAATTATAATTATTAAGTCTATATTTTAAATTTAATTTTTAAACCTATATATCATTACTCATAAAACTCAGACGAAAGAGCAGCACATCAAAACCTAATAGTAACATTTTCGAAACCGCTGCGTCATGTTCATGGAAAACATGGTGCTTTTCTTTATGTTGATTTGGTGTGTCTGTCTGTCTGTCTGTCTTCTTAACGGACGTACGCGTCATAACGCCGCCCGGTGATTCTTTGAAGTCAACAATTTTAAGGGAAGTTAACGGCCCGTACTATTGAGACATCCATGTTCTTTCGTACCTTCAAATGAAGATTTTTATTAGAGTAATTTTATGTTTATTAAATATTTTTTAAAAAAATATTTTTACCAAATAAGTTAATAATTTTATATTTAATTAAAAATATTTTGATCAATATTTAGTGGGTCCAAAAATAATCTAAAACTACCAACTCATTTGATAAAAATATTTTTTAATAAAAATTTTGATATACATGATATTTCTCTTTTCATTGCGACGTGCGAAGAGGGCATGTGCGGAGGTGAAATGATATAAAAGTTTATAACTTTTAAAAATTGAGTAGACATGATCGAACTAAAAGATTATAATATTTAAAAGTCAACATACAACTTATAAATGGGAGTTACACCTGATTCAAGGAATTAATGTTCGCTAATAACTTGATTTATATTAAGTTGATTCGTGATTCGAATTTGAGAATGACATGACCCACTATATCGAATCTCAAATGAATTTGTTGGCACGAATAATAATGATCTAATTTTGATACGACAAACCTGTTTGAACGGAAATTAGTTATTGATCTAGCATAATATATATATATATATACTTAACAAATTAGAAGATTTTTAACTCGATTTTATTAGCATTTGGATGGAACACAATTTAGTTTATATGGGCATTATTATGTATACAGTCTGAGAGAGAAAAATGTTGTAATTTTTGATTTCTAACACAATACAACTAGCTAGTAAAAAGGTTATGTTACTACCAAGACATCAAATATAATGAATTAAGCAATTTCAGTTTAGGTTTACATTGACAACTATATATCAAAACAAACACCCAAATGTAATATGATTAGAATAAACTACAATATGACTAGAATGACATCCCTCCATCTCATGTAAATCTGATCCCACTGAATCAAGGCCTCTACTTAGAACTCATTTTCAGCACTGTGATATTCCAATAAATCTTGCATTTGCATATATCTTTGGAAAATAATTTTGTTCCTAATATGGATGTCAAGAAAAGCAAAAAGAAGAACAAAAATGCCACTCCCCCCTTCCCCCCCCCCCCCCCCCTCTCTCTCTCTCTCTTATTTTTCATTTTTTCCTCTTTCTCTAATGGCAAATTAGAGCTGACCTAGAAGCCTAGACAAGGTGAGTTTGCTACCACATAGCTTTCAACTTCACAAAAAAAAAAAAAGAGAGTAGGTTTTTCAAGTTCTGTTAGGATCGTCAAATTGCTGCACAGGTGCCAGCTTAACTTAATTGGGGTGAACAGTCGGTGTGTTCTGTGGTCAATTAGGATATGTCACGGCATATTGACTTCTATTATAAGGAACAGATTATAATACTAAAAAATTATTATACGGAAAATTATAATTTTTATAAAGTAAGTTATAATATTTTAGGTCAAATTACAATAAACAAAGTTAGGTTTAATCTTAAATAACTTTTGGGATCAAACATCGATCATAAATACCCCAAAAATTTTAACTTGATTCATAAATATTATGTTTTATATATATTGTACCAAAATACACTTTCGTACCACTGTAGACTTATCCTCAATATAACTACAACAAAGAGGGTTTTTTTTTGGGTACGGAAGTGTTAATCTAAGCATAGGGTTGTGGTGCCATTGTTTAATTTTAAAGACAAAGTCATGTTGGTTACATAACCATTCAAATTTTATTTTAGGTGAGCTTAGCTTACTGTAGGATATGATAATTTATCATGCTGATGAGTAAGACAACGCGGTATGAGAATCTTCATGCTTTCTATATTTTGCATTTGAATTGGCAGATGAAGTAGTAATGTCAACTCTGTCATTCTCATCTATGTTCTAGTCATCAAACCAGCCCACCATCCCTTCCTTTTTCAAATATATAAAGAGGACCCTTCACAGAGTCATGGATCATCCAAATCTCAGAAAGCTTACTCAGAGCTTTATCAATGGCTATGAAACTCAGTTTATTCATACTTGTTATATTCTCCTTTTTGTTTCTTTCACCAGCCCTATCGAGTTTAGCCCCTGGTGATATAAATGAGTGGTGCAACCAAACCCCTTACCCTGAACAATGCAAGTACTTCATGAGAGATGGCCCTCACCATTTTGTACCCAAACAGAAGTCCGAGTTCCGAAAAATGGCGGTGCAAGTAGCCATGGAGAGAGCCCTCAATGCCGAGACTCACACCAAGGGGCTCGGATCCAAGTGCCGCAATGACCGTGAAAAGGCTGCATGGGCTGATTGTTTGAAGCTCTATGAGAACACTATTCTCCAACTTAATCAAACCCTTGACAACCCAAAATGCACCGATTTCGATGCACAAACCTGGCTAAGCGCGGCTTTGACTAACCTCGAGACATGTCGAACAGGTTTCAAGGAGCTGGGTGTTTCGACCCACATGTTGCCCCTCATGTCCAACAACGTATCAAAACTCATTTGCAACACCTTGGCTCTTAACAATTGGTCAACTGAGAAACAGACTTACAAATATGGGTTTCCTACTTGGGTTTCGCCGGGTGACAGGAGGCTATTACAGTCATCATCACCGCAAGCCAATCTTGTGGTGGCTCAGGACGGATCAGGAAATCACCGGACCATTAAAGCTGCCCTCGACGCGGCGGCAAAGAGGAAGGGCAGTGGGAGGTTTGTTATACGTGTGAAGAGGGGGGTTTATAGGGAGAATCTGGAGATTGGCAACAACATGAAGAATATCATGCTTGTCGGAGATGGGTTGAAAAACACCATTATCACCGGTAGCAGGAGTGTTGGAGGAGGTTCCACCACCTTCAACTCTGCGACTGTAGGTAAGGGATTCTCTCTCTCTCCCTCCTCGGTCCTCATTGCTAGTATTGAGTTCGATTCTAACAAAATATATTAAGTTTTGAATCAATTACAATTTTTTTTTATTATTTAATGATTTAAGGTATGACATATTTTAATTGCCCTCGCTACATATAAACTCTGGCTCCGCCCTTGTCTCTACGTGCGAGCCTCTTGACTCATTGTGAGTTGATTTTATATTGGTTAGTTTAACAACCGTTATATTTCTTATTGTGGAAATTTAATTAGTATCACTAGATACATTCTAGCACGTTGGTCTGGTCTAACATCTGCTTATAGAGAATTCTAGCACGTTGGTCTAATAGTTACCATCCTGCCGCTACATCTAATGATCGCGAGTTCAATCCTCGTTAATGCTCCTCGTACAATGATATCTGAAATTCAAAAATTTAAATTTAACAGATTTTGTGTTTGGCCTAACTAAATTCTCAAAATAAAAGTTATGTTTGATAATGAAATTTATAAGATAGACTTTTTAAAAGTCATTCTATGAAAACATGTCTAATTTTTCACAAAATTTATGACTTTCAGCGGTCACTGGAGAAGGATTCATTGCTCGTGAAATCACATTCCGCAACACAGCTGGTCCACAGAACCATCAAGCTGTAGCACTCCGATCAGGCTCCGATCTCTCCGTCTTCTACCGTTGTGGCTTCGAAGGATACCAAGACACCCTCTACGTCCATTCCCAACGACAGTTCTACAAAGAATGCTATATCTACGGCACTGTGGACTTCATTTTCGGAAACGCCGCTGTAGTTCTCCAGAACTGTATGATATATGCAAGGAGACCCATGGACAAGCAGAAAATTACCATTACCGCCCAAGGCCGAACTGATCCTAACCAGAACACCGGAATCTCAGTTCATAACTCTCGTATCATGGCTGCATCAGACTTGCGGCCGGTTCTCAGTTCGTTCAAAACGTACCTGGGACGGCCATGGAAGGAGTACTCTAGAACTGTTTTTCTTCAGTGTTACCTGGACTCCTTGGTTGATCCCGCTGGCTGGTTAGAATGGGATGGAAATTTTGCTCTCAATACATTGTATTATGGAGAGTATAGGAACTTCGGCCCTGGTTCCTCGACTAGCAGGAGAGTGAGGTGGCGGGGTTATCGGGTGATAACGAATCCAACCGAAGCATCGCAGTTCACTGTTGCAAATTTTATAGCCGGTCGCTCATGGTTGCCGGCCACAAGTGTTACCTTTACTTCTGGTCTCTGATCATGTTAAATTGGACAGTTCTTTGTTCGATTCTTTTGTTTGTTAATTGTTTTGGTGTAATTTTGTGAATTTCCATACTTTAGGGGGCCTAAACGAAATATGTCATTTTTTTAATACTCAGTTCTCAATAAAAAGTTCAAATGAATTCCTTTTTCCATCTACTCATTGTTGGAAGTTAAGTTTGTTCCCACTTGTTAGGTAATGTTTGCTTCATATTCTCAAAAGCAGCTTTCCAAAAGCATTTTCTCATCAGCCTTTTTTTAAAAAAAACAGCTTATAATGGCTTAATTAGGTCACTTTCAGCCTAACTTCGGTTCTTAGAAGCCAAATCAAACATGCCGGAATCTAAATATCCATTGATGAGAATAAACAAATGTACAAGAGAAGAACATTGAAACAACAATCATACAGTATGATTCATGAAATCTCTGAAGGGTGTTCTGTTATAACAGAGAACCTATCGTAGATTTGGCAACATGCTTACCAGTAATCACAAACTACTTATTGATTATGGAAAATGTTTGCCAAACAAGCATCGCAACAAACACAAATAAAAAAACATGTAGATTGTAGACTGAGCCTTGCAGAGGACCAACAAAAATGCAAGTACTAGGAAGCTGCCATTTCTGAGCCAAGAGAAAGTTCTTCGGGGTGGATTTGAATCCGTCGTTGAAGCCATCCTGCCCCTTATAAGTTGCAAAATAGTAGCCAATACCATATGCTGCAGTAGGCATGTCAAAACAACTTATTTAAAGCTATAAGTTACCCAAAATAGGTTTTAACAAACATGTCCTATGCTTTGTATTATAAATACACCCTATCCTTCATTAGAATTAGGAAGAAAAAGTAAGACACAAATGCCAACCTTAGAGGACTTGGGGGTTTGGCATGAACCCTTTCCTTTAAATATCGACGAAAGATAGGTAGAAAGCAGCGAAATAAAAGTCTTACTGCTAAGCCGTAAAATTAGAAGACAAGGATGAACAAATGGTTTACAATGACTAAATCATGCCTCGATCTAACATCCTATTCTTCAGTTGCTTAGCATGTTTAATTACACAATCTCAGTAAGCTACACGAAGATCATAGTAAGCCATAACAAGGCAATTGTATTAACTGAGCAAGAAAAGGAGAATTTATAAATGAATCCCAATTTATTTCATATGACTGAGAGCCATATCTTTTGAAGGGGTACTGCATTTATCCTTGAAAGAAGATATGGTAAAACAACCATTAATGTTACTTTCTGCATAAATTTGCATTAAACTAAGCAATCAAACAGGTCATATTCATCATACCATATAAATCCCTGACAAACGTATACTCCTAGTGAGAGACAGATAGAGAACTTTGTTAGCCATGAAGATCCTATTGGTCATCATGCTCATATGTTTCTTATCACTCTTCTTCTCTGCCCTAAGTGCACCATCTGCCGATCACAACTGGTGGTGCAACCAAACCTCATATCCTGAGACATGTAGGTACTATATGAGCCAAGGTTCCCCCAATTTCTCATCCACACAAAGAACCGAGTTCCTTAATATGGCAGTGCATGTCACCATGGACCAGGCACTTGTTGCTCTGAATCACACCAAGTCATTGGGTTCAAAATGCCTTAATGCACGAGAAGAGGCTGCATGGAGCGACTGCATTAAGTTTTATGAGAGCACCATTCTCCAACTCAACCAAACCCTAAACCTCAACACAAAATCTACAGCTTTTGACATACAGACTTGGCTTAGCGCAGCCTTAACAAACCTCCATACCTGTCGAACTGGTTTCATTGAGCTAAATGTCACCAACAACATTCTACCAGTACTGATGTCCAACAATGTGTCTAAGTTAATAAGTAACACCTTGGATATTAACAACCCCTCAACCATGGAAGAAACTCACCTGGGGGGCTTACCGAGTTGGCTCTCCACTCCTGATCAAAGGCTTTTGCAATCATCATTGCAACATTCGGACCTTGTGGTGGCTCAAGATGGATCAGGAAATTTTCGTACCATTAAAGAGGCTCTTTCAGCTTCACTTAGGAGGAAGGATTCCAGAAGGTTTGTGATCCATATTAAAAGCGGTGTTTATCATGAATATATTGAGGTCACCATCCAAATGAAGAATATCATGCTGGTTGGTGATGGCTTGAGTAACACCATAATTAGCGGTAGCCGGAGCCATGGTGGAGGTTACTCTACCTTCAACTCTGCAACTGCTAGTAAGAATCTCTCTCTCTCTCTCTCTCTCTCTCTCTCTCTCTCTCTCTCTCTCTCTGTGTTCCAAAATTTATATCTAGAGTTTCTGTTTGTGCATCACAACTTTTTCTATAAAAAAATCCAACCAAATATTTTATGAGAAATTTGTAATTCAATTAAAAATATTGGAATCTAGCTAGTCATGTATAAAATTTTGTTAATGCATCGCTACCTTTAATGTTGTGCTCAAGAACATTTAACATTTCAAATGTACAACATTTCTTGTCTCAAGTCAAATAATTCAACTTACTCGCAATGCCAATAGCATAACTTGTAAAAATGTGATGATGAAACATATTTACCATATTGATTCTAGGGATACAAACCATAGGGATGCAAACTATCTTTCATCATGTTTATGTTCAGAAATCTACTGACACTTGGTTGCTAACTTTCTTGCGATTGATGAACTTACAGAGGTCATCGGCAATGGTTTTATTGCTCGTGGCATCACGTTCCGTAACTCCGCTGGTCCCCAGAACAGCCAAGCTGTGGCCCTCATATCAACCTCTGATTGTTCTGTCTTCTACAACTGTGGTTTCCAGGGATACCAGGATACCCTTTTTGTTCATTCACAGAGACAATTCTACCAAAAGTGCCATATCTACGGCACAGTAGATGTTATTTTTGGGAATGCTGCTGTAGTTCTGCAAAACTGCATCATCCATGCTAGGAGACCCGTGGCTGGAGGAGGAATAGTAATAACAGCCCAAGGGCGGACTGACCCAAATCAGAACACAGGAATTTCAATACATAATTGCAGGGTTGTGGCTGATGAAGACCTTGTACCAGTGCTAAGCCATCAAAAAGCTTATCTGGGACGGCCATGGGAGCAGTATTCACGTACTGTTTATCTGCAAACTTTTCTGGACAGCTTGGTCCACCCAGAAGGATGGATGGAATGGAAAAATGACCACTATAAATCGAGAACTTTGTACTATGGGGAGTATAAGAACTATGGCCCAGGATCTTCAACACAAGCAAGAGTGAAGTGGCCTGGTTATCAAGTAATAACAGACTTGAAAGAAGCGGAAAAGTTCAGTGTTGCAAACTTCATTGGCGGTCAGTCATGGCTGCCAAACACTGGTGTACCTTTCACTGCTGGTCTACTGCCTTGAGTGTTTAATGTTACATCAGTTGCCCGTTTGATAACTCTGGTGTTGTACACTCTGTCGGTTTTAGTAAATGTTTTGCCATTATGGGCACTTACGCCTTTCCCCTTAATTCTCATAAATCACAGGAAAATTATTTGGAAGCGAAAAATGTTTAGCTGATACCAAGGCTGAAGAGGCCCCGAACAATAGTAAGCCTTGTAAAATTACAGTTCTTGCACTACCCATGAGTCGTCGATCTAATAGCACATGAATAGACCAAGTAAGATTAGGCATGCAGAGATACCACCATCTTGGCTGGTTAAGCACCCCCCCTAAATATTTGAATTCGCACACTATCAAGGCATCCTTTCTTCAAAAGTAACCTTCAAATATGTGCCTTTAGCCACATGAGAATCTGTGGTCAACCTATCTAGTCATGTGGGGATCTTGACATCTTCATTGATTTATGAATAATGGAAAGGAATTTTCCAAATAAATTGCACGCCTCTCGCTCATTGTGCAACAGTTGTTTTTTGCATCCACTCTTTTCTGTTCCTGCTATATATATAAACAAACTTAGTATTGATTCATGGATAGTAGAAACACTTCAAAATCGAGCCTCCAAGAGATAATAACTGAAGTTTTTGATTGCAGATTGTGGCCTTGCTTACCTGAAATTGATGCAAATGCAAAATATGGAGACAATGACAAGATGCCCAACCCATTTGACAATTTTCTTTGTGTAAGCCGTGCCATTTGACATTACTAATTTAAGTGCTCAAATATGAAGTGCCAGGCAACTAGATTTTGCCTCATTCTTTGTATAAAACTATTTGCTCTAACATATAATTCCCGCAAAATATAGCATGTTTGAACTATTTGCTCTAACATATAAAACTATCTGCTCTAACATATAATGCCCGCAAAATATAGCATTTTTGAACCTACCAAATTTGTGAACCATCTCCCATGGTAATAATATGAGCATGAAGGAGCAAAAAGTTCCAAGCTTCACATTTTCTTCAACACTGAGAAGTTTAAATACAAAAGTTGTTACTAGTCAAACAGTAAATTTAATTCTCAACTAGCAAGAAATGAAAACACATCAATCACTGCCTAAATTCAAGGGGAAGAAAATAAAAAAAAATAAAAAAATGTTTCTCCACAGCCAAAATGAGTGCATAGTAGAAACACTTCAAAACCGAGCCTCCAAGACATAAGTTTTTGACAACTGATTGTGGCCTTGCTTATCTGAAATTGATGCAAGTGCCAAATATGGAGACAATGGACAAGATGCTCCATCCCATTCGACATATTGTTTTTGTGTAAGCCATGCCATTTGACATTACTAAAATAAATATGTGAAGTTCAAATCAACTAGATTTTGCCTCATTCTTTGTATAGAAGTATTTGCTCTAACATATAATTCCCGAAAAATATAACATTTTTGTACCTACCAAATTTGTTAACCATCTCCCTTGATAATAATATGAGCATGAAGGAGCAAAAAGGTTCCAAGCTTCACGTTCGCTTCAACACTGGGATTTGTGATAAAAGCTTACATTTATCACAGAAATAGGCTAATCAAAAAACAGGTACTTCAAGATATGACATCCTTAACTTGTGAGCAAGATCCATGATATCAAATCACCCATTGAGCCAGCATGAAAATGGAATTAGTACCCCCACCAAGCACAATGCATTCCTTCTTCCAACAAATCACCTTAGAGAGGCCTTTCTTATCGAAAGAAAAAATAGCGAACATAATCAGTGTATCCGCATGTGGTGTAAGACCATGTACATCTAACACTCGCTAGACCTTGTAGTGGGAGAAGCCTCATGCACTGGGCTGCCATTTCTTATCTTCTTTTTGCACACCCGCAGCAAAATTGTAATATCTTTTACGACTTCTTGATATGAAAAAAGGAATTCCGGCTCAAAGACATCAAACCCTGAGCCTCCAAGAGACAATTACTGCATTATTTCGATCACCGTCACTGATGAAAGTTCCCCAGAAAACTAAAATAAAGCAGTATTTCTTGGATGAGACTAAATCTTCAAAGACCTAGCAGGATTAGATAAATACGTTTCAAATTTATACACAATCACAAAATCTTTGTCTTTGCTAACACAGGATTAATCATCAAGAGTCACTCGAAGGCAACCAATTTGTCTAATCCTTGAGTTTGTGGTGGCAAATAATGAGCAGACATAGAAGTTGATATAGTAGTGGGATAAATGTCTTAAGAAAGCAAGCAAGAAATGAACTTCATATACCTCAGGCATAATCCAGGCACCCCTAGTCACAGGAATTCTTTAGTTCTCCATCAAAGAAGAAGCCCATAGGACACAACCTGTAACAGAATAAGAGGAGAGAGATTAAAAAGTATCATTAACAAACGGGAAATTCTAATTTCCTAAATTAGCCTAAAAAAGGTGCATACAGAACATGATTCAAGTCCTATTTTATATCTGTTCAAAAAAAAAAAGTCCTATTTTATAAACTGCAAAGATAAAATAAACTCTTCTGACACTATATGCCACATGCTATGTATTTTGAAATCACCTCCTCTATGCTGTCAAAGACTTCTAAGCCATTGTCTTCGCCCTCACACTTCCCTCACTTCTTTTGTAATTATCAATGACCTTAAATAAAAAAAAAGGGATAAGAGAGCAAAAGTTTCTTCAGACACTCCAGATATGATATTGATTGCTACGCAGCAAGGTTTTTGGCACCAACGATAGAACTTGCCATCTCGAAGTTCTAGGAAATCCAATGCACTCACTAATCCAAGAAAGAGGCTTTCTGCATTTAGTAGGGATGTGTTCAATAGTTCATTAGCAAAGATGTTCTCAAATCATTATACCATGTAACAAAATCTTGTAAACAAAGAATTCAAAGCATATGTTAGAAGTCATTTAAACATAAGGAATAGATCAAACAAAAATGTGACAATTGTTTTTTCCATAATGGGCTTTGAAAGTGGAGTGCTGAGTTAAAAATAGGGAACTACTGATTTCCTAATTCAACACAAATAAATCACCTGAATCCAGAAGCCATGCAGTTCAGAGAATTTATATATTTCCCATGAATTGATACAGATGGTCATGGAAATCCGATGATGAAGGATGTGGTGATAATTGTAGTAACGGTGACAGGTGTGCTAATGACAGAGGAGGTACAATATTAGCGAAGGTTTATGGTGTGGCTATTTGGTGGAAGCAATGATGCCGGAGGAGTGCAATGATGATAGTACCTAGTGATTGAAGCAGTAGTGATAACTCTGGCAGTGATGCTCTGGATTGAAAACGGAGTGAAAACTGGGTTATTGAAGATATCTCTCTTATAAAACTTTTGCCAGTTAATTTTTTTTCCACTAAATCTTCAAGAGTCAAATCCCCTCCTACCACCAGTATTTGGCAATGGCATGAAGATTGGAAAATACCTGATGGTTGTCAACTACAGATGGGCCTCGTTGAAAGGGGTCCAGGATTTATCAATTACCTGAGAAAATATGAGATGAAGATTAGCTACCTAAATGATTCACAACACTAGAGTTATATTTCTGTGCATTTGACAAGGAAAATACTCTAGTTAGGAAAAAAGACAGAAAGTGAAAAAATGTCCAAAAGTTCAAGGTATAAGAGATTTACCAAAGGGTAAATCAATGGTAACCAAGTTCGGGAAGTGTTCGTCCATATATTACAAACTTCATGTCTTTGAATAAGGATCTTATCTTCAGTCACGAAGTTAAGCCATTTTCTCCCTGCCTGTGGCATGATTCCATCAGCAACCTCTGTGTCATCTCATCTATAGATCTTCCTCTCTTGAGCATCATATCATGTACCATAAAAGCTTCATTCAGTTTGTCTTCTATGCATAAAATGCAAAGCAGCCAGTTAAGGTTATACCGGCAAGGAAAGTAATCATGAGCAATCATATCCTCACATATCTTCAATGCATGAAAGCTCAAATGAGTGGCACAAAGACAACTGAGTATATTTTCATAAGAAGCCTTAGAAGGAGAAAACCCCCTTTTATGCATTGTATGTGAGAGTGACAATGCATCAAGTAGCCTTCCACCCTTGCATAGGCCTCTTATCAAAGTGTTGTAAAGAATTCTATCTGGAGCACAACCTTTAGTATTCATTCGATTGAACAACCCAACAGCAAGATCAGTTTCACCAAATCGGATATGCCCATCAATGAGAATAGTGAAAGTCACCTGATTGGGTTGCACACCCTCTCTTTCCATCAGTTCAAGATGATTGTATGCGTCTTGCATCCTTTCAGCCCAACAATAGCCAGAAATCAACCCATTGTAAAGGTACAGATTTGGCATAAACTTAGTTCCTCTAACTTTCTGGATCAACTTCAACACAAAGAATTTCAATTCTTCCCGAGAACAAATAGAGATTTTCAGATTGCTTTCTATTGGCACCAAAGTTTTCTGATGGAGTAAATGAAACAACATTTCCTTTTCCCTTTCAGGCTTTCTATGTGCAACATGCCATTTTCCTTTGATAAAGGTCATATTTCTGCCAAAACCACTGACCAATGTTATATAGTTAATCAGATCTCCTTCAATCTGGCTTTTTTCCATCAAATCAATTAACCTACATGCAAATTCAAACTCTCTCTTCCTCAAGAATTGATTAATAAGAGAGGTATATAGCACAGCATTTGGCAAGAAACCCTCTTCCAACATCCTATCAAGATATAAACAGCCCTTTTCAGTCATATTCTTCTTAATTAACCCATTTATAAGTGCTGTGTAAGCATGGGAACTTGGTTGAAAGCCATGTTCCAACATTTTATCAAAAAGTTGACGGGCCTCAATTGCTCGTCCATTCTTAGAGTAGGCATTAATCATATTGACATACACAGTGTCATCAGGATCAACACCAGCCTCAAGCATCCTCTTAAACACGTGTTCTGCTTCAAATATTCTATTTTCTCTACTTAAACAACCTATAATTGAGTCATAAATAGCAACACTAGGCTTCTCTCCTCTTTCATCCATTTGGTCCAGAACATAAAAGGCCGATGCTATGTCGCCCCGTTTGCAATGCTCATTCACCATTATCAGGTAAGTTGCTAGGTTTGGAACCATCCCCCTATCTTGCATGAGTTCAACCAGAGACCTGGCATCCTCAACAAATCCCTCCTGGCATAGACACTTGATCAAGGAATTATAAGCAGAAAGCAACGGCTGGCATCCAATACTCATCATTTTATCCATGCAAAGCAGAGCAGCATCAATGTTTCCTGCCTCACACAATGCAATAAGATAAATACTGAAGGCCTTATCAGCTAAACTTGAGTTGCTTCCCACAATTTCCCCTAGCAGATGCTCAATTTCAAGTTCAATGTCTCTGGCAGATCTAGAAGTGGCAGAGCTTGAGAAAGATGAAAAATCATATCCACATCCATTCTTGGCAACTGCCCGCAAAATCATGAGAGCAAGAAAAAGCTCATGCCCTTTTGGATAATTCTTGATGAGGGTGAAAAACAGCACATGATCAGGAACAATTCCACTGTCCAGCATCTCCTTGTATAATTCATCCACTTCCATTGACCTATTAACCTTATGAAGTGCAGCAATTAAGACTGTGTAACAGTGCACAGTGGGAGTAATATTGCAACGTCTCATGTTATTTAAAAGCGTAAGCGCACAATCAACTTTCTGGTCCTTACAGTATTTGCTGATCATGATATGGTACGTTACCACATCAGGCTTCAATCCCCGTTCCCCCATCTGGTTATGCAAAACCCACCCTTTATCAAACAAACCCAAATTGACAAACCCATTGATCAATGTGTTGTAAGTATAATTATCAGGGTCACACCCCATCTTAAGCATTCTCAAAAACAACCTCATAGCCATCTTCATTTTCTTACTCTTACAATACTCATAAATAAGGTTAGTATACATAACTTTATCCAAAACAAAACCATAAGACTCCATTTCTGTACTCAACAACTCGGCCTCCTCCACCCGACCCCTCCTACAAAACCCAAGAACCAATGATTTGCACAAAAGAACAGTAGGTAGAATCTGTGTATCACGCATTTTATCAAACACATATAAAGCGTCATCTAAGTAACCTCTAAAACATAACCCATCAACCAACTTATTGTAACACCACATACCCAACAAAATTCCAAAATCATTGACCTTAGCAAAGTACTCAAAGGCCTCTGAAAATCTATCTTGGGCACAAAACTCCTGAAGAATCTCATTGCACGTGGCTTTGCAAGGACCATCATTCCTTTCAATTAGCCTATCAAAATGACATTTTGCATCATCTAATTGCCCTAATTTACAAAAACAAATCACCATTGAATTCAATAATGATGTGTCGGGATCAATTCCTTTACTCAAAATGCTACCATTATACACTGCCAAAGCTAATTGGGGTTCATTTGAACCGACAAGTTTTCGAATAAGAGCGCCATAACTAGAACAATCAAGCTCCATACCTCGCGTGATTGCAAAATCAACAGCAGAGATTGTTTCGGGGACCGAAGAACACTGTGATATGATTCGCTGAATGACTTGCTGGGCGGAGGACACTAGTCCTCGGCGATTGAGCTGGTCTGCTAGTGAAAAGCAGAGACTTTTGTGGTCATTTTGGGGTATTGAGACTGACGTAGTCGGCGGCTCTAATGGAAGAGTGCATGTAGTTAATCGTCTTCTTGTTCTGAAGAAGTAGGATTTGTGGAGAACAGGCCTCTTCTTTATCATAGCTCTTCAGTACAAGAACAGGAAGAATTGGAGAGTGTTAAGAGTGAGAAATTGGCATCTCTGAGTGTAACCCAAGTGAGAAAAAGTGGAAATTTGACAAACCCAGAAGTTCTGACCGCGGTGGTGCAGCAACTGCTAAACCCTTTAATGGCCGTAAAACATCAAGAGCTTGTGGCGGGGAAGAAACGGACCTCCTCTGTTTTGGGCACTAGTTTGTCAACCTCGCCGGTTCAACCCGGTTCATCCACGTGTTGATTAAGAATTGGGAAATTTGGTGGCCGGTTTTCCTAGGTGGACTTGTTTGGAGATAAGTCCGATAAGAAAATTTATTGGAGTCTAAGTTCGTGTTAAAATTTATATGTAGGTACTTAAATCCATTTTTTTTAAATCTTAATATTATTCTTAACGGTGTTAGTTTTATCTAATTATAGAAAGTCCAATAGATTAGATCTTTAAAGTATATATAGAAACCTTAATTTGAGTTATATATGGAAATCACTTTTCATTAAAAATCCTAATAATTAAATAAAGAATATATGAAATGTATATACTTTGCTAGCTATATTTAAAAACTTAATTGACGAATTAATTCAAATCACAAGTTTTTCTTATCAATTCAAATTCAAATTCGAATTCTTAATCAATTTTAGTATGTTATATTTTTAAATAACAAGTTTTTGTGTTTGAAGGTGATAGAAGCAGTCGCGAGACTCTATGTTACTAATGATGTTACTGTCAAGGTTATTATTTAATAATCATTACATATAGTAACCAATCGTGCAACAATATTATAAATTCACTTGATAATGAATAATTATAACGGATTTTAACATATCAATTCCACATACAACACAATTTTAGCATTCTAAAATTGAATGGTTATGTTAGTTGGAACATTTTTTAACATGTTACTGTTGTACTTACAAATTGGATAGAATTTTCTTTGTTTTCCAAACATTCCATTACAACACAAATTCTCAAACTTACATCAACATATCAATTTAATATCAAGGTGCAACATCCAACCACAATTCTACATGTTTGAATACTTCATTTAAACTAAGTACCAATTAATAAACAATTACAACCAACTTCTAATCGAGCTTACAAGTAGCTAAAGAATGAATAGCTTTACAACATCACCAATTTTTATTTTTTTGGTATCTTTTTCTCAATCTTGATCTTGTCTCATAATTTTAACAGTCCATACATTCCTACGGTTTATGAATGTAATCACCATATGTATTCGTAGAACTTTAAGTTGTGCTGGTTTCAATTTCTTTTCTATTTCCTGTAATTGCCATCAACCTGTAGCATAACGTTGTAATATCAATATCCTACACAAACATATAGTATAATGATACAAAATAGTAAAACACAACATATGGTAACATACACAATAGTAACATACATAATATAGTAACATGATACCAAACATAATGGATATAAACCAATTGTGAAAACTTTTGTGCAAAAGTAACATTAACAATTCCACCAAATTACATAATGTAAATATAGTAACATCAGGTTAGTAACATCAAAACACACACAATTCAATAACATCATTTTTTAATACACAATTCCATTGCAAATTCATTGCGTTCCTTTTTTACATTTAAAATCAAACAACAACCCCTGAACTCTTCATAAACAACATATGGTGCATTAAAAGTAAAAACTAAAAAAGGAGTTGATCAGTAACATGTCTACAGTAACATCAATTTGTCAGTACCATCCACAGTACCCAAAGCACAAGTATACATTGAAAATATGAATTTAATTTTTCAGTTATCACACAGTAACATAAAAATGTTTAATGTACTATTGAAACAATGATTTTCGAATTTTTTGAACAACGAAGAAAGCAATAAAAAATTTACACATGTAATTATATAATAGACTTTTAATTCAGTAACTACATTTTTCATTATACAATAGTTTCCATTGGAAATCCATTAAGTCCTCAAGTTACAATTTTTGGAATGTAAATAACAGTGTTCAAAAATAACTTGAATATTTTTTTGAGGAAACTTGTGATGTTTTCCTTTTCGTAACCAACAGATTGTGCATTAAAAGTAAAAAACAAAGGTTGTGATCAGTACCACATGTGCATTAACATTATTTTCATAGTAACATCCACAATACTTAAGCACATCAATCTATTGAAATTAAGAAATCAATTTTTCATGTTAAGACAGAGTAACATGATATATTTCATGTTACTTTGAAACAAATGGTTTTTGAATGTCTTGAACAACGCATAAAGCAACAAAAAAATGTTCACATGTAAATACATTGCACATTAAATTAGTAACACTAACATGAATAGTTTCATCCCAAATGCTATATTGTATTCACAGTAATATCAAATGGTTATAGTAAACATACAATTCTAAAATTTAAAATTTAAAAAATTCTCAATTATAGCACACTGTAAATGCTTGAATTAGGACACTCAACATCGATCAATAACATCAAGATATTTAAATTATGAGATAAATTTATTCAACTCCTCACATAGTAATCTTATATATTTCATAAAAACATAACCAACGAATTTCAACTGTCAAACATATAAAAAAGAATGACAAAAACAAAATACATAACACTTTTATTATAGTAACAATCCATCTTAATTTTAATGTTATTAATGCAAAAAATAAAAAAAAAATTAAAAAAAAAACACAGATGACAGTAAGAACGACACATCAGGCAATGAGTTTCCTAATACCCAAAATTATACATTAACATTCATATAAAATCACATACCTTTCAATCTTTTTATGAATCCCAAAGATTGTTGATGATGATTTGAATGCAGAGATAGCAACAATAACTTTTTCAATGGAGTCCAGATTAAACTTTGAAGAGTATATTCAAATTTTGCTCTTATGGTATGTAACTTTTTTGAAATTTGAATAAGATTGGTTTGGGTAATGACAGTTACTGGTTTTTAGGGAAGAAATTTATGGAAAATTTGATGAATATTGCCGAATTTCAAGGTTTGAAAGAAGGGGAAGTTTTGGTTTACAGTGAGAGAGTTAGAGAGTTTTACCGTCTGAGAAAGAGACGGCAAATTGGATGTCGTTTATATTTTTCTAAAAAATAAGGATACAATAGTAAACTTGTCAAAAAATAAACTTATAACCAAATAAATTTTTTTGTCCGACTTATCTCCAAACAAATCCGTCTAGGAGACTCACTCCAAATTTTCACTTAAGATTAAAATATCTATTACCACCGTCACTCTAGATTTGATATCCCACAGAGCATTTTGAATTTGTGGGAATTTGAATTGGGCAAAGTCTTGAAAGAATAGGCTCAAAATTTAGACCGGGCAATGTCTGGCTCATTGGGCTTGATAGAATGTCGAGAAATGCAAGCCCGGCCCATATAGACATCAACACAGCTTACCAAATTTGGCGACTTTCTACAGTGTTGGACAAGACATGAGCTGGGCCAGAATGATCTCATAACTCTTTCCCTAACCCGTCTTTAAGAATCGGATCAAATATTACGCTGTATAAATGGGTCGCTCTAAAAGTCCTACAGCTATAGTTTTGCATTTAACACATTCAACCTGCTCCTGTATAGTTTTCTTTACTTAATTTTGAAACATCGTCTGAATTTTTAATAATACATATTTGTATATTTTTTTTCTTATATCCAATTTTCAAATTCGTGGTTTCAACATAAACTAAGCATGTGTCCAGTCACATCCAAACAATACAAATCAGATTAACAATGACATCTTTCGAGAGACTCAAATTTGTAATAACTTGAAGTTTTTTTTTCACCATAGTTATACGAAGGGATTACTGTAACATTTCTTAGCATAGTCAACTTGAAAATTCCATGTTATATTTTGTTGAGATAACTATCTATTTAGCATCTGAATTATATTATTTCTGTCAATCAAACTCCTAAACTATATTTTGTATCAATTTAGCCCCTCAACTATATCATTTGTATCAATGTGGCCCTTCCGTCCAAATTCATGATTAACTTGGACAGAATTCCTCACATGCACATCACAAGAGTTGGGGGATTAGAGTATAATTTAGGAGTTACGTACTGTGCACATGAGGAATTCCGTCAAACTTGAAGATGAATTTGGATGAAAGGGTCATATTGACACAAATGTTATAGTTCATGGACTAAATTGATATAACCAGTAATTCAGAGCTTAGTTAACACAAATAATATAGAGGACCAAATAAATAGTTAACTCTATTTTGTTTATAGGCCTCACTAGTAAACCTAATACACTCATGTTTCTTTTGTGGTTAAAATTCAAAGTGGTTGGTTCTTACTTTTACTTTAATGTGGACTTTTAATTATGACATTATGTATATTAGGAATATTCACATAATAGCTATGGATTATGATTTTTAATCATATCCATTGCACTCTTTCACCCTTTATTTGTTCTCATATCTTATTCATATTATCAGTCATAATTGTCACCATAATATTGAAGAAGACATGTAAACCACAATGTAATCATATTCCTTTCCTGTGTGAGTTTTCTTTTCTTTGTCTCTCCACACTTTAGATAATGCAATGTACTTCTATCCCTCTTCACACCTTACACTAATAACTATTTTGCCCATAGGAAGGAAAGTGACAGTCAAAACCAACAATAATAACTTAAACTTGTTGATTATCATAGATAGAGGTGGTAATTGAGTACAAGCTTGAGTCCGAGCTTGGCGAACTTATTTTTTTAAACGAGCCTAAAAAATTGTTGAAGATTAGTTTGTTTAGAACTTGAGTTGAGCCCGAGCCCGAGTCAAAGCTCGAGTTCAAGCAGACTCGAGTAGTTTGACTATTTTATATATAAATGAGTCGAGTCTTTTAAATTCATTTTTCTAAACGAGTTTAAAAATTGTTCAAACTCAATTTTTCTATAACATGAGTCGAGTTTGAGCTAAATTTTATCTGAGCCGAGCCCGACTAACTCGTCTCGATTAACAGCCTTAATTATAGAGAAGACCAAACACTAAATTCTTTCCACAATTTTGTTGATTTCGAGGTTAATAAGGGATTAGAAGAAAGAAGGAAAGAAATGATTATATGAGAATGTTACTTAAAATATCAGAGTTGCTAAAAAAAGGTAGTAAAACCCAACATTAATTAATAATATCAGAAACA